TAAACAATAAAATCGTTTAATGCTTGTTTCAATGTTATGGACACACATTTTTAAGACTATACACTGGTGGGACTTCAAAAGCTGCTGGGATGCTAGATTCTAAGAAGACTGAATTCTAATCGCCTCTAGGAAATCAATTACAAAGTATTTAAATACTTCCCTCAATTCAGGCTCAACTAAATAAATTAAAACCAAACCATGTAGAAATATGTGGTTAAGAAAAATTAATTCATGACTTCCAAAGTAATGAAGTATAGGTTCTTAAATGCAGTAGCTTTGAGAGCATCATATCAACTCAGAAAAAAATTATTCTGGACAATTATTTCCAGAATTTCTCTCTCTTTCCAAAATCAAATCTTTTTATTTTACTTTTTTTATTTTTGCTTGATTGGAAATATTTTCTAACTTTTCAATACTTGTATTCATTCATTTAACAAACATATAGTGAAGCTCACTACATAGCACTATGTAAGGTTCTGAGACTATAAATATAGCTCATGTAATTAGAAGTCTACTCAAGGAGACAAACTCAAACAGAAAACTGTAATATTAATATAAGTTTGTTGATAAGAGGTATTCCTAGAGCACTGCACTGAGACAGGGGATGAGGACAAAAGAGGCAGCTGATGAAACAGAAAGCTGAATCTCTGAAAATGTTATTTCCAAAGCAATTTGAGCAGAATTTTTAAAAGTTTTTACAGATTAAGAGCCTGATCAAGAGGAATAGAAGAAAAGGATGAACAACAACAAAAAATGTATTTAATACATATAATTGTGGAGAGGTAAGAATCAAACAAGGTAGGGGCATTGTTTGACTGTGTGGAAATGTTACATGTTCTGACATGCAAAGAATGTTAACTAAATAAAATGGGAGAAAAGGGAAAGAGAGAAGTAGAGTAACACCACCAACTGTTCAACAAATAATTTGGAATCAGAGGATAGAATTTAAAACTGGCAGGAAAGACAGGAAAAGCTAAATAAGAGAAAAAGCTCCTATAAAAATTACATACACAAAGAAAACCACTAGAACAAAAATACAAACCTTCCTGAATACAAAAAATAGTAAAATAACAAGAAAAACTATGTAGAGAAAAAATAACAAATATTAACAATACATAGTAATTTTAACACAGACAAATATGGCCAGAGTTGAGTCCAAACATATCAGTCATACAAAAAACATGAATGGGTATATTAACATGAAAAGATTTTGAAATTAATTCATAAGCAAAAATCCAATTACATATTGTATATAACAGACACAACTAAAACAGTAACTCAAAAAAGTTAAAGGGATGAGCAAACATAAACCAGCAATTAGAAATAAGAAAGGAGGGTTATGATCCTAATGTCAAAGTAGAATTCAGACCAAAAAGTATTAAATGAGATGAAGATTGAAACTTTACAATGGTAAAAGTGACAATTTACAATGAACACATAACAATTATGTATACTTATGCACCAAATAACACAGCAACAACCTATATGAAGCAGAAACTACAAGAGATACAAGGTGAAATTGACAAAATCACATAACGATCAGGAACATATCACTTATCAGTGCAAAATAGGTCATGGGACAGAAAAAGGAGAATGACATTTCCCAAATTCCACGAAAGACATAAATTTATAGATTCATGTGGTTCAAAACCCAACAAAGATAACAAATACAAAGTAAATTGCACCAAAGCATACCATAATCAAATTGCTAAAAACCAAATGAAAAAAGAAAATCTTTAAAGTAGTCACTAAAAAGTAACACACTATATACAGAGTGACATTCATTTGAATGATCAACTCCTCATTAGAAACAATGGGGGTCAAAACAGTGTTTTTAGAAAATACAAGAATTGAGGAATAAAGGTTTATATATGCAATTTGCTCTCAACTCACAAAAAGAAGAGAGATGTGGAGAGAAAATGACAAAACAAAGCAAATATTTATTGGAGGACATGGGGAAAAATAGTTCACTAAGTGATTCTTTTGAGTTTTCTGTATATTTGAAATGAGTTCAAAATAAAAGCTTACACAGATGAAAAAGTATAGAGGCATGTATGTGTATATTATTCTTCACCTATTTATTTTCTAAATGTCCACTGATGGAATGTAGAAGTAGGAAGAACTCGGTAGTAATCAGCACACCTGGCATCCAGGTTTTGGTTTCTAAATACCATTCTCTCATAAACAGAAAAAAAAAAAAATCAGAACTCCTTGAAGAAATAGTTGAATTGAGGGTTGGGGCAGGAAGGTACAAAATGAAACTGAAACACCTCATGTTGTTAAAAAAAGGAGTGCTCAAAAAATTACATAGGCTTATAGTGTAGGTGCTAGAGGTTAAGAAATAATAACAAATACCAAAAAATAATTACGTAGGTGAAGTGGCTACATTGTCTGGGGTAAACATCTGAGGTTCGCTGTCTCCTGCCAGAAAAATTTAGGATGCAGACACATACAAGGGGTTTAGGAGGTTTAAAAGGCAAAAGAAAGAGAAAGGAAAATAGCTCTCTGTCTAGTGAGAGAGAGAGGACTTCCCAGAGGAAAAGGCCCACCAGCTGCAGATGTCCCAGTTTTATAGTCTGGCTTGAGGAGGCAGTGCCTGATTTACCTAGGGCTCACATATTGGTTCCATCATATGGCATGGGAATGCTGGCTGCCTCACCCTAATCTTATGATGCAAATGAACTTTCCCTTTGGCCAGCACCATCTTGTCTGCTCCTTACTGTACATGTAGCTGGCAGAGAAGGGAACATGCAGCTGCCATTTTGAACACAACTGGCACAACTGCTGGCATCTATGTCTGCAGCTCAATTTTACAGGCTGCTCTTTTTTAGAAAGGAAAATGATTTGGGGCTCCTTTTCATTAAAAGGAAAACCTTACTGAGGACTTCTATACCCTCACTATCTGCATCAGGATTTTCTTCTTAACTACTGTATCATAAGCATGTTGAAAGGACACAGAAGCCAACCTGAAAAAGTTCCCAATTGCCAAAATAAAAAATTTGAGCAACAAAATTATTTTGTTTGTCAACAACTTGACCAAAAAAATTATAGTAGTGGATTAGAGGACAGTGAATGGTATCTGAGTCCTTACTGATATTAATAAATAAATAAATGTAAAAAAGGTATAACTCCTCCTTCCAGCAAAATTTCAATTTCCAAATGTAGAAGAGGGAAATGAAAAATCAATGTTAGACAAACACAGTAATTGTTGCAGACAAAATCCACCAATGGATGCTAAAATAAATGACAAAAGATTTGCAGTTTCAAAGTATCCCCCAACATACACAGAAAATTAATTAAAAGGGGAAAATAGGGGAGGAAAAGGAGGGATGAAGGAGAGGGAGAATTGGGAGGAATCCAGCAGATACCACTTTAATCAAATGATCGTTTACAAAAATGATTAATTAGTATACTAACATACACTCTCATATGACACATTCTGAACAAGTCTATCAATTCTGTGGCGTTCTTCATACACAAACATAATCATAGTGGACACAGGGAGGAACAAATATAAATGGGAGAGGCAAGGAAAAATTCTGCAGTTAGAAGCTGGAGGTGTAACTTGGCCTTTTGGCTAAGATCAAGTATAGAAATTGAAGGTATCAGTATGAACTTAAAATCTCTAAAAAAGAGATTTATATACAAATGTGTATGTGTGTGCTTTCTTGCTCTGCAAGCCAAAAGAACCTAAGATAGATCAGTGATATCTCAGGAGCAATAAGTACACCAAATTCTCAAATCTTGGTTTCTAAATACCCTTCCTCCTAAATGGAACCTCTAGGTTCTTTGGAGAAATGGCTGATTCCAGGGCTGAGGCAGAAAAGGTACAAGATGAGTCTGGAATGTCTTCTTTTGCTAGAAAATACGTACTCAAAACATGCTGGGGCCACGGCAAAAGGAACCAGATTTGAGGGGCTCCTTCAAGACCAATCTTGGACAATTTTAATGAACACATGAATAAATACAGTATTGAGCAAATTATAACCCACTGAATAAAACAGAAATCTATGAGCCTATACTTAAAATACAAATAGCCAATTGATAGGTAGGTAAATAGGTAGACAGATGCAAGTAAGAGGACAATTCCTTTCAGTAAAATGCTAAGAAAAGGAGAACATAGCAAAATTTTTAAAACACCATTTTGCAATCATCATAATAAAGATTGGATTGGGTAAGAATTATCAAGTATTGCTAAATCAGGGGAGGGAAACAGGATGTCTGTAGGGGAGCAAAATACTCAATCTAAAGCACTTTCCCACAGATTGCCTATTTGTTGCAAGGGGGAAATAGCTATACAGTGAAGACACAGAATAACACTTTAGGTGATCAAAATTAAAATCAACAAGTACTTCATCTCAGATGTGATACCTTAACAAGGACATATCACTTCTGTAGTATTTTGGTTGGGGATACATAACTGCAAGCTTATCATTAGAAAGACTCAGACCCAAACTGGAAAACATTGTACAAAAAACCCCACACACAAACACAAATTAATGACTACTTTTGTTACGGACAACTGATCTTCATGGCAAATAAACAACACCTGAAGACAGAGATCATCTATCACACTATCTGATAATTTTAAGAGTTTGTTGGTTGAATGGTTAATTCCTGCCTAAACCGTAAGATGCTACGTCTCAGTGTCTTTATTCCTCTGTTTCCCAACTCTGGTTCTAAAGAATAGTAAAGACACAAAGCATACTGTTAGAAGAATAATGAATTTTTAAACTAGGTAAACAGAATATTTATAACTTATATAATATTCCATAGTCTCATCTCAACCAAATTTTTCCAAAGTAAACATTTTTTCAAAACTTTTTAATGTATATTATAAAACCAAAAAACCAAAACACTAGAATTTAAAATTTGAATCTAAAAGAATCACTCCACATATACATTTATATACTAACTTTGGAAAGTTTTGTGTTTGCATATATTCACAAGGAGGAAACCTCAAAAATAAGTTGAAGTAAGGATAAAATTTATGAATACACTGTAGTTAGAACTCAATTTATTGTTACAACCAATTTTTATTTACAGAATATAAATCTCTTCAAAAAGATACATTCCTTCATTTAATCAATGGTAAAAAGCCTTATTAACAGAAACAAAGCCTAAACATCACTTATATTTAAACAGAAAGACAAATAGCTTTATTAAAAGTTTATGAACACACAGTGAAAATGTATTTTTACTTAAGCAGTTACATGAATGGGGCTGTTCTTAATTTTCCTCACTGCCAACCCCATTTTATCCACAGAACAAATTTTAACTTAAATTAACAGTAGTAAAAATGTAAAACTTAAATTTTAAACATGAAATTATGAAACAAAAAAACCAGGAAGTATCTTCATTACGAAACAGATTAACAAATTCTCAGACACTCAGATATTTTCTGAGGCATATCAAAACACCTACATCAAAAGTTGCATTCATTTAAGAGGTATCAATACATTTTCAGTGCTGAGACTATTCGTAGCACTTACATTATATACAAAGCAGCATTATACTACTATGGTTCACATTTGATAAACACGAATTTAAGCTTTATGCCACAATTTCCCAATTCAACATACAGCTAACGCATTGACAGTTACTCAATTTCATTCCTTTTCTTCTGAAACTGAATAAGAAAATTATCATTTAAGCACATGGAATAATGGCTATGTCTTCTTCCTTTTAGTAACAGTATATTTTCAAACTCAAATACTTCGTATCATGGAGATTTGACTAGCTGTACAAAGCCTCCTAAATACAGTACAGTCAAAAAGTATCCTCTTTGCAGACTCACTTTATAGTCAATTTAGTACAGATAAATACAGGAAACTACTTGAGATTACTGGATAGTAAGAATTTCAGTGTGTGACTACTTATAATTAAGTAGCAGCACACCAACAACCACAGCAAGTAAACACTCTAATCTCCTCCACTGCCTTTTTGGGGTCTTTTCTAGTCACAGGAGCTAGTTTACAGGGATACCACTGGTTCCAACGTATCTGAAAGTTCCTTTATTATGAGTTTTGAAATTTAACTAATTCAACACTCACAATTCTGTTGGTCATATTTTTCTTATTCTTCACTAATTAGTTCCAAATACAATATGTAATGTTTTCAAATTTTTATAAATATAGGTGTTGTACTAAAATGGATAATGACATTCAAAATACTATTAATGGGTAAGATGTTAACCAAAAAAAAGGGATTCAAAATATTTTAGAAAGCAATTTTTTGATAACTAGAAAAGCTACAGGATTTACCATGAATACCGATACAGTATTTTTAACCCTGCTCTTTTATAACATCAGTAGTATAGTAAGTGCATAAAGTACAGAAAAGAAGAAAAAGAAAATTGCAGGAGAGAAATCTACAAAAGAACTCCAAGTTTGATGCATCAAACAAGAGTTTACAGTTCTGATAAGCACTATCAATTTTTTTCTATCCAAATAATTCAGGTCTTCATTCTATTTCAAATTGTAATCCAGAAATGAAGATTTTCAGTGTAAAAACTGTTCAGAAAAATCTGATTCATTATGTAAGACATCTTATTAATTTCAGTTTCCAAGTATTCAAGTAAGGTATACCCAAGAATTTCCTGTTACAGCAACTCATTTACAGACTGAGCCTCAAACATGGGAAGAAATTCATTAAAAATAATTGATATACTTTTCTGTCCAATGACATCAAACCCAAGACATGACACTGGAATCACACAAGTGGTATATAAAAGTTAAAAATTTTTAAATAAGGTGGTTCAATATAACCAATAATGTTTTCTTTTCAAAAAGAATTAAAAATAGGTCATCTTAATATGTAATTAAATTCCCAGTAAAAGGACATTCTGAAATCTAACGGACTAAAGAAAAACCAGAGTAAATCTCTTTTGAAAAATGAGGCTGCTTTATCACACATATAAAATTATTTTTCCTCTGTGCATAATTATTGGCGTTTGTCTTCTGCATAAAATAGCACAAGTTGCTGTCAATAATAACTTTCCTAGTGCAAAGCATTGCTAACTTTGTCTATCAATGGAATGACTGATTGATTAAAAGCATACATCTGTATCACTTTGGAATGCTTATTAAAAGAAATTTAAAGCTAAAAATTGAAATGACAGTATTTTTATTTATATTATGAAGACAGGAATTCGTAAAATGGTATAGAAGGCTTCTGTGTAATGTAAAAAAGAAATTTCTGTATAATTTTTAAAATGGAGGGTTCTAACTTTTAATTGAGAGTGTCTGGGGGAAACCTTTTTCTTTAAATCTGGAAGCTGTAGTAACATATATTTATGACGTTAAATATTTTTAGTTCAGCAAAAATGGAAATAGTTATCATTAGAAGATTACTTATGTCTTTTATGATCTTATCATGATCAACTTTAAAATTAGAAAAGTCATTTGAGATATGCTTAAGTTGAACTAAAGACTTACTATTTGTCTTATTTCTGTATATATGGAACTTAGATTCACACTGGGACATATAAAATTTCAAGGTTTTCTTTTGTAGAAAAAGATTAACAACCCTAAAAATAGGAAATTACTAAATTATATTTTTAACTTCTTTTAGCTTGGAATCATGACTCAAAGAATGGAGCTCTATTAATGTAACCGTGTATAAATTCACTGCTTCCAGGAATCTAACCTCACAAAACCTAACAGCTAACTAAAAAATAAAGAAAAGTCTTATTAGGCACTAAGAGGCTAAATAAATAAGTACTGACATTAACCAAAGCCAACAAACCCTATTTCCAGTTCCTGTGATCTCACTGTGCAGCCACAACTGTTGGTTATTTTTAGTCTAAAACCAACAAGCTGAATCATTTCCTTACAGAAAAATTTCTACAACAGGGAAGAGAATGCAAAACAATACACAATCTCATATGCAAGATACAATTCACACTAATTTACAAATTTTTATTTACATTATTTTATATACATTCCAGGCAGACCTACTTGATGAGTTTTGTGCTCATATTGATCTCAGATGATCATGTGAACTGTATGATTTACTACCACGCCTGCTCGATTTCCAGAAAATGGTTGGTAGCATGGGGTTAGGAGAGAAAGAAATCATCACTGGTCAGGTGAGATCATACAAGTTTGAAGGGGAAGAAAGGAAAAAAATTAGGGAATTTTGCTTGTTAAAGCATCCAGGCCACTATGGTCTATTGACTAACACTGAATATACATGAATGCCACTTCTAACAGCCATTTTCATATTTACAAAATGAGCTCACTACTAGTTGAGTTATTAGGTAAGGCATTCAAGTTCCTTATTTTAACATAAAAAGGCAACAGACATCTCAGCACGCCACAGGACAAATTTCAGAGGGATGATTTTAGAGCACTTTGAGATTTACCCACTTTTAGAATCCCTTAAATAGTCGATATAAAAGGAAAACAATTCTGAACCCTATTGCTAGCCCACGCCATGATCCCAAAAACCTACCCGGGAAGTAAGAGCATCACAACACCCAAAATCTAGTCAGAGTGGGGAAAACAGATTAAATATCTTATTTTGTTCCGAAGATCCACTCCATATTCCCAGGACTAAAGTGAGAGCCTTTATTCCTGGTTACATTCACTTCCCTATGAATCTCTCTAAAAAACTTACAATAGTGTGACAGCTAGCAGCTATGCACAGTCTATCAGCAATGGCTCAGTGAATCTCTATTCAAAACAGTTGGAAGTGAGAATATGCAGTAAGGTAGAAAAATTATCTTCTCTCCTCCCACAGTTCTACAGGATATATACTGTTGCACTTTAGAAGGCAGAAAGCAAAAAAAAAAAAAAAACAAGACTATTACACATTCTTTATCTGTTTTATGAAAATGTTCCAACCACCAAAAACAATTTTTCAAGTTCACATTAACATTAAAAAAAGCTACTAGTTGCTTAATTGGTTCCATTCATTTAATCAACTAGGCAAAATTCTATTGATCTTACAGTAATATGGTTTAGAAAAACAAAAGTGAACATTTATAACATTGGGGAGGTAGAAACCAAATCTGGTCTAACACTGTAATAGATACAAATATATTTTAAGATTCTATTTATGTAACTAGAATTTACCATTTAAAATGGCCTGTGTTTCTATTTACTTAATTAGCTTTAAAAATCTTGAGATAATCCAAGTATTTTAAAGCATTTGTCTGAGAATATAAGTTATTTGGAATACATCAGACTCCCCAGAAAATTTCTCAGAGGATAAATTTGTAGTTGCATATTTTGAATATGCAGATCCAGTAAGCCAACTTTGTACATGGGCACTTATGTGACCGAAGTGCAAAGCTTGTCAGGCTAATTTTCTAAGTAAAGTTAACCATGACTGCTCAACCACACACAGCACACTTCAAACCCTGAAGCCTGCCTATCTATCTGAAAGATCTAACTTCTTCCCATACAATAATTACCTCCCTCTTACCATTAAACAAAATAAAAAATACAGTTAAACAAAAACAAGAGAAATAAAACAAAAGCCCTCCTGCCATACTATTTCTGCTTAATTCACATTTTGTCATTTGTCAGATTTTAAGTGTACAAGATCAATGCCCTAAATGTTCCTTATCTAATTACTTAACTGCCTCAACATATAACTCTGAACTTAAATGTATCAAGTAATCATTTGCTATCACTCTAAAAACACAGAACCAAACTAAAACACGAAACAAAACTGTAAGGAATGACTCTGGATAGTTAACAATTAACCTAAATAATATTTTCTTATTTCCACATATGACAAATTTTGTATATTTGTTTCAAAAATTAGCAATACTAGTGACTCTTTAATAATCAAAAACATAGAGCATCTCTATAAGTAAAAGAAAAGTTTCGGTTAGAAACAATTTGATACTGTAAAATTTTTTAAACTGAAAATAGTAACTTGACCATATTTAGCATTTGAAACATTATTTAATACAGATTTTGGTAACATTAATTCATACTTATTCCAAGATTATATGGTAAATATTCCTATTTATACTGCCATACTACATAGAGAAATGGGGATTTAATCCTAAATTATATTCCCCACAAAAAGAAATACTTTCTAATACTCAATTCAACGAGATGTACCACCAACGGAGACAGTGAATGTATTTCGCCTAAACAGATATTTTTATATGAAAATTCTAAATTATCTACATCAGTCAATGACTGGCATTTAAAAAGTAAATGATTCATTTTACTTACAATGCATCAAGATAAAAAGGTTACAATGAACAACTAGAATGTTTACTGAAATTAATCTTATTAAAGTAAAACTTAAAAAACATTATCTGGGACATTTTCATTGCTTACACTTAACAAACATGAAACAGATATAAAGTCACAGAATCGTGTTAAGTTTATAATAAATAATTCACATACGACATAGGTTAAATTATCAAAGAAATGTTTAAACTGTCATCTTTATACCTTTTGCAGATTTAACACATTTCTAATCCACCACATACTGACAGCAGTAGGTATATTTCTTGACATCATTCAGTCTATTTAAAAAATAGATTGATTGTTTAGAGGCATAATTTATAAAGCAAGATAACCAAATTAAGTAACAGAATTTAACTAATATTGGCTTTTTGGGATTTCTTAAGAAAAGATTCATAATCGTTGCTCAGCTACTGGAGAATAATGAAATCTCTTCTTTACTCAGGCACTTTTAATGCAGTAACCTCAGGCTTCATTTTAAAGTACTGGTTAAAACGAACAATTGCATACCTAGTGAGAAAAGAGAAAAAAAAAAAAATTAGTCAAAGCTGAAAAACTTAGTCCTTCCCTTATTTCCATTCAGTCTTGTAGGCTGGTTTTTTAGAGTTTAAGATTTTCAAAGGACGTATTTTTAGTTTATTGCACCACCTACTGGACACTTTTCTAATCCTGCAAGCACTTAACAGCTTATAGCAATTTCTTTACAGATCTATTACTAAATGTATGCAACTTCTATATTTGATCGAAAATAACTACAATATTCCCTATGATTTCTAAGTGTTAATCCAAACAAAAGTAGAGACAAATGTAATCCATATAACAAAATTTAACTTACCCAAGGAAATCAAACTCAATAGTGGAGTATTTGGCTTGAATTAAAGCCCACAATCCCCAAAAGAAATGGGAAGCCTTAAAAGAAGAAAAAAAATTAAAAGTTATTATAATGAATCTCTCTGTAAAACACATATGAATCGTTAATTCTATCCTCTAAATCAACTTCATGCACACTTTCTTTCTTGCTGTTCTTTTTAAATAATGTATCAAAAACCTAGATCATACCAAAGTGTACCACCTGCTGATGACTACAGACCACTTTCATCAACACCAAAAAAAGTTATGGTAAATTATAATCACTTAAAAATAGAGCCCAATTCTTTTGACCTGCTTTGTATAAAGCAGAGTTTACCAACAGCACTGACAGATGTATGTTAGTGTTTTTAATGGTTGTAATTGCTAACAGGCTTAACACATTATATCAAAGGCCTTTGTTTCTTGATATAAAAAATATAAACACAAAAGGAAATCCAAATCTCACAAGCAATAAATATATTTAAATGTGAAAAATGTGCTAGGGGTGATAAACATCTGGAAATTATCTTACTGGCTTAATTCTGCATAACAGACCACAACATAAGGTAACACAACTTATGTCAGGAAAAATATGGATTTTAGAACTTAAAGGAAAATTAGAATGTAATCAGTAACTGTAAAATAATTATGTGTACTTTACAATCTATTTTCAGTTAAACATGGTAATATTTTAAAATGTGAAGAAGATTTCAAATACTATATTCTAACTAGAAACATTCTAAGTAGAAAAAGTTTTAAAGACAAAGTTTTTGATTCAGCTAAATTCATTACAGCAACACTAGCAAAGGGGCTTTAACAAAAAGGTACTCAACAGTCACGACCTTGGTATTTTTAAATACCGAGGTGAAGCGGCACAGTATACCAAAAAGAATTCTTAATTTGAATTACAAGATTCAGAGGTTCTAGTCCAGGCTCTATCTCTGAGTACCTTCGCAACTTTCAAAAAGTCACAAATTTTAGTGTCACATCTATCATTTACAAGATGGGAATATTAGCCATTCTGTATTCTACATAGGATTGTTTTAAAGACTAATAAAAGGAGGACTTTCAAGATGGCCGCCTAAGAACAGCTCAGGACTTCAGCTCCCAGTGAAAGTGCAGAGGGTGAGTGGACGCCGCATTTCCAGACGAACTCTTATTGCCCACAGACCAGGAGATACCCAGGCAGAGGGGTCGCCAGCGTCGCAGTCCCAGCCGGTGCGGCTGTTTTGGCCCCCGCGGAGCTGATTCCGCCCGCGCGGCTGCTGTGACCACTCCCTGTTGCTGCGGTTCTCCGTACAAAAGCCACTGGTCTGGGAGCCCTCTTAGCTGGCGAGCAGAGCCCTGAGACAGCAGAATAGCCCATTCATCTGAAATAGCGAGTCAGGCCAGGAGATTCCTAGGCAAAAAATCCTCCAGGAGCCGGCGCCGCGGTTCGAGCCGACTCCGTGTGAGTCGCAGCACGGGAGATCCCGGCGCCTTTTCAACAAGCGACCGGAACGCGGGGTCGTTCAACTTAAAAGAAAAGACTCTGAGTCAGGGAGCCAGGTGATCAGGCTCGGTTGGTCCCACCCCTCCACCCCCAACAACAACGAAAACAAAAACAGTAATTGGAAACCCTCTGGGTTGAGCCCTTCAAACCAAGCACAGCTGAACCGGGACGGTCCGGCTCCGTGGGGGAGGGGCTTCCGCCATTACTGAGACTCTCCACCGCTAGGGAGGCAGGCTGCCGTTGCCGAGGCAACCCGCCGTTGCCGAGGCAACCTGCCACAACAGAGAGAGTCCGCCATAACAGAGGCGGGGCCACCATTGCCCAGACAGTTCTAACTACGCCCATATAAAAAGGACTACAGGGAAGAGCTCAGGGCAGCTGGGCGGAGCCCACAGCAGCTCAGCAAAGCCCCTGCGGGCAGGCAGAGGCTAGGCGTGCTGCTAGCTGGGCGGGTCCAACCTGAAAAAAAAAAAAAAAACAAAAAAGGCAGTAGTGCAACGGAAACTCATAAAGCTCCAACTCCCTGGGACAGAGACAGACAACAGGTGGATAAACCCACAAAAATGGGTAGAAACCAGCGTAAAAAGGATGAAAACTCCCGAAACCAGAACACCTCTCCTCCTAAAAGTGATCACAACTCCTCACCAGCAAGGGAACCAGACCGGATGGAGAAGGAGGGTGATGAAATGACAGAATCAGACTTCAGAAGATGGGTAGTAAGAAACTACAATGAGCTAAAAGAACATGTTCTAACCCATCGCAAAGAAAATAGGAACCTTGAAAAAAGATTGGACGAACTGCTGACGAGAATGGACAGCATAGAGAGGAGAATAAGTGAATTGATGGAGCTGAAAAACGCAACACGAGAGCTTCGTGAAGCATGCACAAGCTTCAACAGCCGAATTGACCAAGCAGAAGAAAGGATATCAGAGGTCGAAGACCAACTCAATGAAATAAAAAGAGAAGGCAAGAACAGAGAAAAAAGCACAAAAAGGAATGAACAAAATCTTCAAGAAATGTGGGACTATGTGAAAAGACCTAATCTACGTCTGATAGGTGTACCTGAATGTGATGAAGAGAATGAATCCAAGCTGGAAAATACTCTTCAGGATATTATCCAGGAAAACTTCCCCAACCTAGCAAGGCAGACCAATATTCAAATCCAGGAAATACAGAGAACACCACAGAGATATTCCTCAAGAAGAGCAACCCCAAGGCACATAATCGTCAGATTCACCAGGGTTGAAATGAAAGAGAAAATGCTAAGGGCAGCCAGAGAGAAAGGTCGGGTTACCCACAAAGGGAAGCCCATTAGACTCACAGCAGATCTCTCAGCAGAAACCCTACAAGCCAGAAGAGACTGGGGGCCAATATTCAACATCCTTAAAGAAAAGAACTTTCAACCCAGAATCTCCTATCCAGCCAAACTCAGCTTCATAAGTGAAGGAAAAATAAAATCCTTTGTGAACAAGCAAGCACTCAGAGATTTCATCACCACCAAACCTGCTCTACAAGAACTCCTGAAAGAGGCTCTACACATATAAAGGAACAACCAGTACCAGCCACTCCAAAAACACACCAAATGGTAAAAAAGCAGCAACACAATCAAGAATCTGCATCAACTAACCAACAAAACAGCAAGGTAGCATCAAAATGACAGCATCAAATTCACACATAACAATACTATCCCTAAATGTCAATGGACTAAATGCCCCAATCAAAAGACACAGACTGGCAAATTGGATAAAAAGCCAAAACCCATCAGTGTGCTGTATCCAGGAAACCCATCTTACATGCAAGGATACACAAAGGCTCAAAATAAAGGGATGGAGGAAGATCTACCAAGCAAATGGAGAGCAAAAAAAGGCAGGAGTTGCAATTCTCATCTCTGATAAAATAGACTTTAAAGCAACAAAGATCAAAAGAGACAAAGAAGGTCATTACATAATGGTAAAAGGATCACTGCAACAAAAAGAGCTAACGATCCTAAATATATATGCACCCAATACAGGAGCACCCAGATACATAAGGCAAGTTCTTAATGACTTACAAAGAGACTTAGACTCCCACACAATAATAGTGGAAGACTTTAACACCCCATTGTCAATATTAGACAGATCAACCAGACAGAAAATCAACAAGGATATCCAGGACCTGAACACAGACCTGGAACGAGCAAACCTAATAGACATTTACAGAACTCTCCACCCCAAATCCACAGAATATACATTCTTCTCAGCACCACATCACACCTACTCTAAAATTGACCACATAATTGGCAATAAATCACTCCTCAGCAAATGCAAAAGAACAGAAATCATAACAAACAGTCTCTCAGACCACAGTGCAATCGAGTTAGAACTCAGAATGCAGAAACTAACTCAGAACCGCACAGCTTCATGGAAACTGAACAACTTGCTCTTGAATGTTGACTGGATAAACAATGAAATGAAGGCAGAAATAAAGATGTTCTTCGAAACCAATGAGAACGAAGACACAACATACCAGAATCTCTGGGACACATTTAAAGCAGTCTCTAGAGGAAAATATATAGCAATGAGTGCCCACATGAGAAGAAAGGAGAGATCTAAAATTGACACCCTATCATCAAAATTGAAAGAGCTAGAGGAGCAAGATCAAAAAAACTCAAAACCTAGCAGAAGACAGGAAATAACTAAGATCAGAGCAGAACTGAAGGAAATAGAGACACAAAAAACTCTTCAAAAAATCAATAAATCCAGGAGCTGGTTTTTTGAAAAGATCAACAAAATAGACAGACCACTAGCCAGATTAATAAAAAAGAAAAGAGAGAATAACCAAATTGATGCAATAAAAAACGATAAAGGGGATATCACCACAGATTCCACAGAAATCCAAACCATCATCAGAGATTATTACAAACAACTCTATGCACATAAACTAGTAAACCTGGAAGAAATGGATAAATTCCTGGACACCTGCAACCTCCCAAGCCTAAACCTGGAAGAAGCCGAAACCCTGAATAGACCAATAACATGGTCTGAAGTTGAGGCAGCAATAAAGAGCCTAACACCCAAAAAAAGCCCAGGTCCAGATGGGTTCACAGCTGAATTCTACCAGACATACAAGGAGGAGCTGATACCATTCCTTCTGAAACTATTCCAGACAATCCAAAAAGAGGGAATCCTTCCCAAATCATTTTACGAGACAAACATCATCCTGATACCAAAACCCGGCAGAGACTCAACAAGAAAAGAAAATTTCAGGCCAATATCCATGATGAACATAGATGCAAAAATCTTCAATAAAATACTGGCAAACCGATTGCAACAGCATATCAAAAAGCTCATCCACCATGATCAAGTAGGATTCATCCCGGGGATGCAAGGCTGGTTCAACATACGCAAGTCCATAAACGTAATTCACCACATAAACAGAACCAAAGACAAAAACCACATGATTATCTCGATTGATGCAGAGAAGGCTTTTGACAAAATTCAACAACCCTTTATGCTAAAAACCCTCAATAAACTAGGTATTGACGGAACGTATCTCAAAACAATAAAAGCTATTTACGACAAACCAACAG